GGGCTCGGCCTCCCGGGCTGCTGCCCTCGGAGCGAGGCCGAACCGGGAGGCTGGATGCGCTAAAAACGTGGATTAAAGGAAGGAGCTACCTGCAGGCAGTTGGCTGCCAGACTGTTTCCTCCGCCAGCCTGAGCTTTCCACGGGCTACTCGTTGTTAAGTAGGTTTTTGGGGAGTTTTTTCACCGCTGTTCGCTGCTCTGGAGCCTCATGAGATTAGCAAAGGTTTAACAAAGAAGAAAAAAAGTGAGGATCCCTTTTCCTTTACCCGCTGATTCTGTTTCAGAGCTTTCCACCAGAATCACGGCCATTAGAGCCTTTCCTTTCTGTAAAGGAAACAGGTGATTCTCCCACTGCCTTATGTCAGCTGTAAAGCTTTCTCCATGTCCTTTGAGACTCGCCGTAGGGTTGGGAGAATTCACGGTTGCCGGGCCAGAACCTTTTGCAAGACTCTTCTGAGACACTGAAGTGAAAGAGTTGTATCAAGTAACAAAAACAGCCCAAAGAAAAACAATTCCCTGACTCCTAGTATATTCCCAAAAACAATTTGGGAAACAAACCTTTTCTGGTGTTCTTCACACGTCATTGATAAGCAAAAAAGAGACAAGATTGATTTCTGATTTTTTTTTTTCCAATAAACCTTCGAAAGAAGGTTTCCTGGCCAGGGTCCCTGTGCTTGTTTATATGGATACCTCCTTTTCAGAAGTCCAGACACTGGGAGCACTATGAGATCATGACACGAGCCACCTGCTCCCCCAGAACAGCTCCACCACAGCTTTCAAAATGACCAGGAATCAGAGCGGGGAAAAGAGAAGGAAGGGCTGTTTTCAGTGAAGGCAAAGGGACAGAAAAACGCGCAGGGGTCAGATGGTCACAGGAGGATGCCAAATAGTTTTGAGCAGCCCAAGAACATGCAACCTGAGAGACAGGGATTTTCATTGTGCTGGGGAAAATAGTAATGAAAATCCACCAAAAAGGCAACTAGCAGGTTCAAATCATCTGATGTGCTACTCATTATCTCCCCTGACACTTACTCAGGCATAAACACTCAAGACTCAGCTGTGGCCTGGGAAGAGAGCAGAATTGGAACCAGTCGATAATCATAATCATAGCATGGTTCCAGTGCTGCACCTAGTCCTGACAGAATCCATGTGGGATTTGCTCTACAGAGAGAATTGGAGAGTGTCTCCAGATGCTGTTTTGCAGACAGATAGGATCTTACACTGCCTGTGCTCCATACCGACCAGATAGGAGTCAGCTGTTACCTGGAAGTCTGCTGCAGTCAGCTCTGCACTGAGTTCAAGCTAGTACATCTCACAAAGAAGCTGGACAGACGACCTCAGGCAGAGACCATCCTAACACCGAGACATAATTTCCAGTCAGCTCAGAGCAAGGACAGAGCATCTGCCTACAGGAGACAGCAGAAGCATACCTAAGACCTTCCCACTCCCAATGAGCAAATCCTTTATTTGTCTTCTGATAGAATTCATCTAAACCATAAAAGCAGAGAGCACCACCTAATTCGTGCACCTTTCACCTGATGCTGAGCTTCCCAACACAGTGGTTATGGTTACAAAAACATCATCATAACCCTCATAGTAGGAAAAGCATTAGAAAGAGATTAAGGGAACTGACAAACTGGTTGTGGGGACTTGAGACATTGCAAAACCATTAAAGAGACTCTGGCTTGGCTACAGATTTGTAAAATGCTCTATTTATTAAAAAACAGTCAAAATGAGCATGAGAAAAAGGGGAGGGTAAGGAACATAGATAAACAAATATGACAGGAGATTCAAATCACAGTCTTAAGTGAATATCCCCTGTCATTCTTTCCAAAAAGAAAGTCAGTGCATGTGTCAGAACAGGAAAGCATTAATGTCAGCTGTAATCTTTTATCACTCTAGATATATGAAATACTGCAGTGAGAACGTTAGTGCAATTAATGCATATTACAACTGAAGATATAAACACAGCTGGCATAATCTGCCGGCAATATATCTTAAAAAAATATGTGGACAATTGAAATGGCAAACTGCTGGGTTAGCTCAGAAAGAGTAAAGCCTAGCTGAAAGAAGTGCAGAATATACATGTTACAATCCTTCTCACCTTGTTGGTATAAAAATAGAACATGCCAAAGTATAACAAAAGGAACAAACTGGAAAGTTGTTGAAGCACAGTTTAATCTAGCCTGAATTTGCTACCCCTTGGCTGCACTTTGGCCTCATGTCCTCAGAGCACAAAGCAACTCTCTCTATGCCTAGTTCAGTAGGAAGAGGTGTAGGAGGTGAGGCCTCTTGGAAGCTAAGAGCGCACGTAACGCCAAAGTCTAACGTTAATAATCTCAATTAGTTTGAATGAAATGTTTGAAAGTATTACAGAAAGACGATAAAAATACTTTTCGTTATAATTCCTGAGTTTAAGCTGAAAAGGGTAATACAAAGAACAGCTGGGCTTTTCAGAAAATGCTTTTCTGTGTCACTAAAATAATCCAATATGAGCCCGTTTAATCTGGACGGACTGTGAGGCTCTCAACAGCGCGTTATGAAAATTTGTGCTCAGTGGCCTTTTTCTAGAGCCTCTCCCATCCAGGGCTCCAGAACCCTTTCAACAGGGGAGTGAGGACAGGAGAGAGAAAAGCTCAGGCCCATGTTTTCAAGCGATGTCTCTTTAGGGCTTCCTTCCTTCAGGGGGTCATACTTTGAGATGACTCTTGGCTCCATCTTATTTTCAGGCTGCTGGTCATCTCCTGACTCAGCTGGGATTCTGGTACGCACCAATGCGGAGACGGGAGGCCTGGAACCTCCCACCAAAACATACCTACAAGAATTCACCCCAGAGGCTACATTTCCAAACCATGGTCTAGATTCTCTGTGGGATGACTCAGAGAAGGAAGCAAAGGCAGAAGCAAGCACTTTAACTCAAAGTAATGGTTCCTCCAGCTGAGCTGTAGGCAATACTGCCTCTGCAATGACAGCGTGTACAGAATTCAGCCATATAGCAGAAGATTTTGGGAAGTCATGTGTTTTCTTTTCTTTGTTTTTGTTTTTGTTTAAAGGCCCAAAAGAGAAAACAAAGGTTAAATGTCCAGGGTAAGTCACAGCGTGAGCTTGAGTTGTACTACCGCATCCTCATGTAGTTTTAAAACCAGTATATTTGCCATCCGCTTTGGGATAAGTATCTCTAATCTGCCACCTGCAGCAGCTTGGGATGACAGCTCTGTTTTCCAGATCAAAAGAGCCAAAGCGCCAGCGAACATACTGCTTGAAAGCACAGTGACGCAACCTGTCATTGACATTCTTACTGTTCAAGTCCAGAAAGGGCTCTTTGTAGAGAAGGATGTTTTTCAGGTTGTTTCTGGACAGCACCAGTCGCTCAAATAAAGGGGAGGTTGTGATGCATTTTCCTTCTTTCCTTCGGCAGCAGAGCTGCTCATGGTACTTCTCTGTTAGCTGGCATTTCCCACAGCAGCACCACGCTGGGCGGTCTGGGGAGGAGGCCCTTTGCCTTGGCCGTTGGAGAGGATACATCTCAGGTTCTTCCGTAACAGGGTCCCTGTCGGAGTTACTGGTGCAGCAGTTAGCATCAGAGGCTTTCTCAGGGTGGCTCTGCAACAATTCCCAAATAAATTAGAGGAGAGAAGACAGCATTTGCTGCTTTACCCATCTGCAGAGAGAATTTACAATAGTGATCCTCACCACTGACTGGGCTTTTCATTTGACAACACATCACAATAGGCATAATGACGATAGATCAGCAGATCTGGAGGAGGATAGTCTTTCTGTGTTGCCAGTGCCCACCCTAGCAAAACCAAATTAACACCTCACAAGTTGTTTCAACACCAACGCACTCCCACTAGCATATATATACACCACAGAAAGCAGCAGTTTTAAGCTGACTCTAGAAAATACATTCTCTGGTCGCAGGACTTACTAACTGGAGGCTGGCAACGGGACTCTAGTTTTAGCCCCTCAGAATCTAGTTGGCAATCTGAGGAAAAAAATCCTAGTCACTTAGGAATGACATTCCTCAGTTCTCCCTCCTGAAGAGGGAATCCGAAAGGTACCTGCCTGTCTTTACCTCAACAACGTCGCCTGTAGTATGCTGCAAGCTTGTTTTCAGGCGTTTCTTTATCAAGGTAACATGTGGCTCATCAACGTAGGACACATACAACACCTGTGCAGCAAAAGAAAGGAGCATCATCGACTGGAGTAGCTACTTAGAGAACTGGGGACAAACACAGCATAGATTTGATTTCAGGGTCTGAGTTCTGCAGTCTGTACTCAGATGACAATCCCATGCAGCTGCACGTTGCAAGGGCAGATATTCCCGGTGTCTGGGACAGTAAGGACACGGGGAATAGAGGGGACAGTCACAGGGAACAGGAAGAGATGGTACAGAACTATCTGTAGGCGTGTGATTGTGCAGGGCCTTTAAACACCCTCCTCTTCACCTTTCTTTAAAAACATATCTAAAATTCTAGGGGGACAGGAAATTCAGTCAAGAGTCTTGAAAAAGAGGAAGAGGCAACTGAAGTTGGCAAGAAAGAGGCTTTGGACAATGCCCTCCTTAGGGGCAACCCTTTCCTTGTGCCCTTCTGCTGTTTTGAAGGGTCACTATTCCCTGTAGGTTTCCCTGATAGAGCTGGTGTGGTTTTGTCCTGCCAAGGATCCATATGTCCTCTGCCCACTGCCTCTGGGCAGCACACGCAGTGCAGAGCTCCATGGGAACTTCCTGTAGGTTCTCTGGATGTTACCAGGAAAAGGAGGTGGCAGTTCCCTTTGCCAATTCCTTGCTTCACTGGATCCTGCCATTCCTCTCACAAAACTGCAGGCTGTAAGGCTGTATGCTGAGTGCCAGAGAAAAAAGGCCAGTAGTGAAGTAGGAATGAACCATCCAGCATTCATGAACGGTCTGGTCTGCTGGTCTGCTGCATTTTTGTATCCACAGAGCAGCAATTTGCATTCCTTACCTGTCTTGGATTCAGCACAGTCTCGTACTTCTTTCTGAAGTGATATTCCTTGACGGGTGATTTGCAACAGCTGCAGCAACTATATAAACTAATATATAAATCGATGACGACCACAGCCTGCATATGAAAGAAAAACAAGTGATGATTCAATTTTCTTAATGAGACCATGTCACCAGAAGTGGCTCCATAAACACAAGAAATAAATCTCTCACCAAGCCAAAATAGGAGATCATGGACCCAATGTATGTCACGAGTTCAATGACGTCAAATTTTCCAGCCTTAAACAAAGCAGACGGGAGTAACTGGAAAGCAAGATCTTGAGCCATTCACTCAACTTAATGACATTTCTCTTTTAGTCCCTTTACAGTGATTCATCCAATCAATTCCAAAATTTCGTAGAGTATCTGAGATACTTAGCAGGGGAGAATAAACAAATTGAGAGGGGAACAGTGGGGACACACAGGGCTTATGAAGGTCAAGACACCTGTCAGTGTCTCAATCTGAACAACAATCCTGCCTCACTCCCAGCCTTGCCATTTCACCCTCAGCTTTGCTCTCCTATGCTGCTCAGTTCAGTGCAGATCTAGTGACACAACATGACTTCCTCCCCAGAATGATGGACAGGAGAGAGGAAAGGGGAATATGGTAGCAGTGGGGCTAAAGAAATAGCAAGTTTTCGTCTCTCCTCCCTCCCTGAGGAAAATGAGTTGTATTTACTGTGCCAAAGACAAGGACATCAAACCGTATTCCATAGACTTTGAGAAGGGTCCGCTGTTCCTCCCCATTGTGTAGCTTGTAGTACTTTGCAAATCTGTAAAAGAGCAAATTAAGATCTCTGCAGCTTCTCTGGGGAATATAATGCCACAAGGCTGGAGAAAACAAAAGAGCAGGATAATTGCTTCTGCCTTCTTCCTCCAAGGCTGCCCTTTCAGCCATCTGAAATGCAGGTGCCAAGGTTAGCTTGATGAACAATATTTTGCCCAGCATTTGAGCTGGCAGCCTAAGCTAAATCAATACATGTATATGGATGTTAACAAATTAAAAATCCAGCCAATGTCCAATGAGTGTTTTGCTGACTCAACCCAAATTTGAATGTGAAGCTGCAGAAAGAAGTTCAGCTAGAGGTAAAGCAGAAGGAAAACCCTAACAAGGATATCTGAGGAGCTGACAATGGCAAGAGTGCCCATGCTCTGGGGGCTTTAATACCATATTATCTGAGACCAACTCTGAACTCCTGATGACACTTTTAGCATGTTGGATATCAGTCATTTCCCACACTTTGAGCAGTGCAGAGTAGCAAGGATCCTGCGGGCCTGTACTGACTTCCAACTACATGACCCTCCTGATGTCTCAGATACACAGCTCACATCAATATATAGATCAGTAAACGGAGTCACAGAGCTTGGAACAAACAGATCTTTTCCAAACCTGACACTAAAAAGCTGGCAGTACAGACAAGATCATCACAATAAACTGAAAGACTTACTAAAATTCATATTCTGATAGCAACACCCATATGTCCTCTGCCTCGGATGTGCTGTCAGGGCTTAAAGTGCTGTATTGTTCTTGACTGGTTTACTTGAGTAATCCCTAAGTCATGTTCTCTTTCATCTAGGTAAGATATTCCAACTGAAATTTGCTTAGCAGAAGGGAGAGAAGGTCAGTTCCATGAGCAGTGGGTACTCACAGATCACTCTTGTCATTGCTAATGAAAATTTGTTTTCTAGTTGGATGCCTGTTCAAGTGCCAAAAGAGTAGTGTTTAATAAGATGTCTGGCCTAAATGCCATCAGCTCAGCTCAGCGTCTCATTCAGAGGAGAGAGATATCTAAGGAAAAATAATTTTTCCTCCTTTCCTTACTCTTTAGGCTCAGTCCCTGCTGCTCTGCTTTGCCATCTTGATGCTAACAAACTAGCACAGAGGAAGCTTTTACTTGATTCCATTCTCTCCTGCACATCTTCCTCCAAGCTAAGTTTGCCAGACTTTTAGAGTGCTTTTAATCAGTGTTCCCCAGATTGTGTGATCATTTGCTTTCCATTCACTGAGATCTGACTTGCATTCTCTGAAGGCAGTGAGTCACTCAGAAAAACACAGCGTAACGTATTTTGCTTTCTTCTTGCTTGCACAGACATGAAATGCCCTCTTATCTTGTGCTGAAGGGTTCCACAGTCTGCGGCGAAGGCATATTTTACCAGCCAGCTCTTAGCCTCTGGAGCCTGCAGCTCTATTAGGTTTTATTTTAAGGTATTTCTAACATTTTCAAAATCAGAGGTTTTCTCTAGTCCCTGAGGGAGAGGTTATTTCACATTTGCTCTTGATGGCACGGAAGCTTTCTCCTCTGTAACAGCTTTGTGCTCAGAGCTGACCTGTTAAGAGCTTTCTTGATCGTTTGCTGGGGCTTTGCTTCCTTGCACATCAAGCAATTCTTTTCATTGAGAAGGCTAAAGCTTGTTCTCATTTAAGTCTCTCACAAACTTCCCTTTGGAACTCAGCTGAAATCAACAGGGCTCCAGGCATGCAGAGGTTGCAACCTACCCAAAGTAGCTTTCCTGACTTGTAGGACAGCTGGACTGCAGGGGAAACAGTGGTCTATACGTGCCCCATTTCTTACACTCTCCTCCAAAATTTTCTTCTTCTGCTACTTATCTCTGTTTGTGCTAGGACACTGGGCTGGCCGTACCTCTGATCTAATACTAATTTGCATTCTTACGACATATCACACATGACAAAAAAGCTTTCTTGAAATATATTCATTGTAGGATCAGTTCTAGCTCTCCTCCCCTTATTCACATGTACAGTTCTACTGAAATCAGCACCTCCGCTTATATAAGTTTGCTTACACCAGCTCAACAATGTGGCAGAGTTTGTGCATGTTTTTCAAGTTTTAAAGAGTATTATGATCAAACTATTCACGACCCCTCAATTTTCACAGTCTTTGCTTTTTAACTTGCTGCACAGACTACCTCTGCTGCTTTTTTTTTAATTTTGGGAACAAGGGAGGATGATTTCTCTTGGCCAATAAAACCACTTGATTAAAAGCTATAGTCAGGCCATCAGCGTGTGGGCTGGCACCCTGCACACTCTGCCAGCAGGCCTGCCTATGTTCTCAGGCCAGACTAACTCACTGTCAGAAATGCATTTCCTTTCAGCAGAGATTTCACCTGAACTGCAGTAAAACAATCTTGCTACAGACTGATACTTTTATGCACAAAAGATAACAAATGTTGGGTAAACCCACTCTTGGCATTTTGACCTCAGCTGTTAATCGACACTAAACGACCTCAAGACTATTGCATTGCCTTCCTCCAAAAGCCTTTTTATAAATCTCCTTTGCCTACAAAGCACAGCAAGGTATCTGGCCTCAACGTCTCGTTATCGTCTCACTTTTTCCTTGTGATCTCCCCCATTTCCTGCCTGTGGTTGTCAGCTCTCAGCAGCGAACACCTCCTTCTTTGCACAGCTCCTGCACAGTGCAGCTTTTGAGTACAATGGCAGCTCCTAGACAGTTACAGCACTCCTGCTAGTATCACGAATGTGTGAAAACCCACAACATAATAAGAATCATGCCATGAGTCAAAAAAGAGTGTTATTACACAAGAGTTTTGACCTAGATCTGAGGGACAACTTTCGTTTTAAATATGCTGATAGGCAGTTGATAAACTGTATATTAAAACTGGAGTCCCATCAAGCTTTTATGTCAAAACTTCTCATAAATCTGCTATATGCACACTGGACCAAAATCTCTAATTTGCTTTTGAATAAATCTTGATTTAGCGATCTGTAGGGCTACTCAGATGGAATAAAAACACTTTGTTAATATATTTGTTTTAATTGCCTTGGGAAACTCCCACATTTAGGTAATTTCAAGCCTCAATTGCCATATGGTGGATTCTGCCCAAACTATTCTCTATATTACCTCCTAGAATACTTTTGGGAAATTTCTAGGCCTTTCAATATAGAAATAACATCTCCTACAGTGCAAGCATGCTCATTTAGAAAATGACCGTGATAATACATTTATGTGACTGCAGCAAATGCAGGTTAAGCACATGACTACAAGAGCGAAGAAGGAGGATCAAATATCTGTTGCTCCAGGTCCTCATTTCCCACACATTACCACCCCTCTGCTTCAACTCAGATAACATGCTACTTGCCTCATACAACATTTTTTACCTAAAGTTGAAACCAGGATATTTGCTTGTTGTTTTGTCATCAAGGCGTCGGAAACCATACTTTGGACTGCAGTAGTAAAACCATTTGTCCAAGCTACAGTCCCAGTTAATCTCAATGCCAATGATTCCCCCCTGGAAACAGAAAGAGAAAGTAAGCTCAGGGCCTAGCACCCTGATTGTTGCTTTTGCATGCTGCTGTTAAAGTTGCTGGAGATCTGAGGGAGGCCAAGGGCAGGGACAAATCTTGAGATGCACCTTAACACATAAGCTACATTTGCCCACCAAGCAGTCTTCTATGGAAAGGCCTTTATTACTGCACAGGTGAGCTAGAAGGTAGAACTCATTCAAGCCTTTCCTATTTTCTGTCTATTTTTCTTCATCTTCATAGTACAAGGGTAGATGTAGCTGCATACTGTGATGGCCATTTTGTTGCTTTAAACTAAACATAGGCTCAAACCAAAATCCCAAGTGTAAACCTAAGTTTTGTAGGCTTCCTATCTCTATCTTTCATCTTGAATGCCCTTGTGCTGGACTGGGAATCAATAAATCTAGGTCAGTTCACCACTCTGAGCAGGACACTTGGTTTCTACTTCTATTCCACCCTTCAATTAACATCAACTTTCGAGAGATACGGCTGGATACTGTGTTAAGGGCATTTGGCTCAACGCCCTAAAGAACAGAGTGAAAACGTAACGGCAAAAATAAGCGTTTTTTGACCTTGAATATGAGCTGTCATTTGTGTCAGACTGACTTTTGGATGACTCTTTCCACCAACAACAGAATTTAGGATGTGCTTCAGCAGAATCAAAAGCTGAGCGAGAGTCTATGAGTGACAGTCTTGTACAGTACCTATTTAAGTGGTGCTGTAGCTTATACAAGGGCCTTTACATGCTACAGAAATACTAACTAAATAACATCAACACAATCAATATGGGTTCCACCCTGTGAGACATTGAGCATATTTAATTTGTGAAAGTTGAGGTTACTTTGCATCTCACATGATCAGTTTCTAAAACTAGAACAATTCCATTATATGGCAATCAGTGAAATATGCAGGAAGACAAACAATGAAATGTTTTAACAGTGAGCATAAAGCAAATGTAATATCACCTCACCTCAACTGCCACCTCAGAAAAATTCTCATTTGCTGCCTGAAGGATATCTCCCAGACGGAAAACTGGACAGAGCGGGGAAGTTATCTTGTTGAATGTGCAGGAACTATTGAAATTCGATGGAATATTTTGTCTGCAAAGAACACACACAGTTGCTTAAACTTAAAAACAAAAGCTGGAGCTCTTTACCGAAGAGCAGCTACAAATACAGCTAAGGGACTTCACACTCTTGTTAACCTATCTTATATGCTCAGGTTGTAAACGTAAAAGCTTTTGTTTTTGTAGCTAACAGTTCTAAACCTCCCAAACTGGGATCTGAGAATCAAGATGAATTATTTACTCCTTGGATGTATGTTATTATCAGTAAAGTTCTACCTGTGTAAAATAAACACTTCCACACTATAACCTGAATCACACGTGCTGTGCTGTGTTTTAGTGATTTTACTCCAACACAAACCAGTACATCTGAATGAATATACTGGTTCATGTCCAGCGCATGAAGAGAAATTGAGCTACGCTAGGAAGCTGTGTTCCCAAGTTCTCCCTACTTCGCTTGGTTCCTGAAGGATTAATAGGGCTATTTCTGTCATAGAAACTTGATATTTGTCACTTAGGCAGATAAAGTCCTGGAATATACAGTCTTTTTGAGTAAAGCAAGTGCCAGGTTATACAATCCTTTTTCAGAACACAACCACTTGTTCTTCAGAAAGCATGGAGGAACGTTTGACACTTACGTGGTGTAATTAAATTTTGGGAAGTGGATGTTGTTCTTTATTAGCACTGTGAAGTCTTCAGAACTCTTCAGAACAGCAGGCCTAAAAGAAACATAGCAAGCGTAACTAAATCAACTAACTTCTTTTACTTAAATATTATGTTACGCTTCTTCACAGTTACCTGGAAAACTGTCAGTAGGAGGAATATGTTGCTAAGAATAACAGACTGAAAAGCAGGGAGTTAGATGGCTCCGGGGATCAAGAAAGGTATACACAGTTTTCTTAGCTTTAGGTATACGTTGTTCTCTCTCTTTTGCCCTTGTTTGTGTGGGCTGATCCTAACTGGAGTCACTACACGCTCCTGAAATATGACCTCAGGAGACTTCTCATATAAATCTTGCTACAGCATAGTAGTAAGAAATTTCATCATTTGACAGCTAATGATTTATGTACAGTGAATAGGCAGTTTCCCTGCTCATCCCCACACACAGGTGGCCATTTACACCAGAGCTGCACAGCTAGTAACTGTGTAAGAATGAGCCACGTTCTTATTCCTAGAGGAGGTCTCGGGAAGTCAAGAGTCAACCACGTCACCAAAGATGGTCAGTCCTTCCTACCAGATACCAGTTTCAGGACCTCTCCTGCAGACCTTGAGGAGACAGTGGTTTGTGTCACTAAATACGTAGGTGAAATGCAGGCGCAATGGAAAGCAGGCTGCAAGTCCTACCCTTCCTCAGGAGAGTGATTTCTCTGAAGCTAATGCTGCAGGACAGAAGGAACTTTCCCACAAGTTGCCAGCTGGGTAATTTTGGCCTAAACCATGTGAGACGGTCTTTGCTATGCCCCAGGATCTACCAGGGCTATAGAAAAGTAATAGATACAATTTCTAGCATTCTTTGTCTAGCATAGGGGCTATGCTGAACTGGATTAATGGCAAGGATATTACGGCTCTCCTGCTTTGTTTTAAATATTCCTGGCCCATTTTTAAATTTCCATGAAGACAGCCATTCCAAGGGGGTAAACCCAAGTCTTTGAAGCAGTCATCCATATAAAGGACACTGCTTCTCAGTATGGATTATTTTCTCTCTTGTATCATTGCATTTTGAGCAATGTCTCTGCATCAGAGATCTGTGATGAAAAGAAACACATTAGCTGGGTGACGCACAGTGACCATGAGGGACTTCTCAGAGTGTCTTCTAAACACAGTCAACCAACAGGACTTGGCTGCAAAACAAATTAACATTTGTGGATGCTACCTGGCCATCAGAGCTTTTGATGAGTTTCAGTGTACAACAGTCAAGATAATAATAACGTATGATAATTGTTAAAGAACTAAAAATATATGAACCAATAACGTGAAACAGTCTATAATTCATCCATTGGGAGGCATCTGGAAACTGATTCAAAGCTCTTTTGAAAACGGTGTTGTAAACTTCTGTCCTTCAGCTAGCTAATCTGAGAACACTGCCCTGCTTGTGACAGAACTGAACAATCAAAAAAAAAAAAACCTTGCCAACATGCGATGGCTTTGTTCAGCTGCAGCCATCACTAACAGGAAGGAAAAGGAGGTCTCCTGTATAATTCATGAAACTTATCTTTCACAGGAATTCACAATAAAGACAATTATGGGTGTAACCAAAAACTGACATTGCTACCCCAGTACCTCAACCAGATGGCAAAGCTTCCTGGGCTCTGACCTTGGATTTATTTATCATTCTGCTAGCAAATCAACACTCAGCTTTACCACTTATTGATTCCTAAGTTTTTCCTTGCCAGTGGAACTTGTGAAGAATCTTTATACATCATTTGCCAGTTTGGATCAAACCTGTTCTCCATTATTTTTGGTCCCTGCTAGTGACCGACTACTGACACTTTAGAGGAAGTTGAGCAAACACGACAGAATGTGTCAACTGTACAGTGCAATTAAAGGCAAAATCCCCTCTATAACACACACAGCAATAAGCCTACATAGCGTGACATTTAAAAATGACTGGCAGTCGCTGAGATTTTATCAAGACAAAACCTAGGGTTTAATTTGCTCAGAAAGCTCATGTATATTTTCCCAGGATGCTGTAAGTACAACTACAGCCTTCCTGTTGTTGGACAAAGCTTATTTTTGGATCACAACTTTGTGCCCAGGAGAAGGGAATGGAAATTCCTTTAAAGAAATGAAAAAAATCAGCAGGAGGAGGAGCTGCAGGAAGCATGCTGGGCTCTGGAGGGGACCTGGCAGTAGAAAAATTGCTCAGCCTCTGCAGAAAACTCTGAATTAGGGAAAAGAAGGGATTTATAAACAGAATCATGCCTGTGTCTTTTATAAGCAATGAGTTAATAAAAGTGGTAATTGACCTGGTGTCATGCATGTTGCTCAAAAGCTGTTACTGGCCTGGGATTCAGAGAAGCTAAAACTTATTAGTCCTTGGTTCTCTTGAAGAGTAATTTCCATCATAATTTCAGATGAAATTAAATCTTTTATAAAATATTTTCATGATTTGGCTGGTACAGAAAAGAAATGGCATATTTACTTCTTAGAACACTGTATAGTCATGAGTTACAGAAAACACTGCTACAGGATCCCTCCACCCGGGTCCTCCTCTGGGTTACAGCAGCATTGTTCCCTGAAGTCTTTTTCCTAGAGTTTTCTTTAGCTTGGTATTCCATGTTGCCAATACTGAGTTTTTCATCATCTACCTAGAGGGGCTGCTCTTCATTCCAGAGTGGACTCCCCCAAACACTACCCTGCAGAACTGCGTACAGAAAGCAAATCTAGCACTATTGTTCTGGGAGATGGAAGCAGCCTTGTTGTGATAAATGAGCCCACACAGAGCTTCTACATCACAGAGCCCTGAGCCTTGTAGAAGAGAACCCCAAGCTAACAAACTTTTTATTTCTGCATTTTCCTTGACATCTGAGTTGATGATCCAAACGCCTCTAGTGAATTCAAGATGAGTTTCTGACATCTAAAACTGTCTATATGGCAGCTGCAGATGATACAAACTGGAGGCTGTGACTTCACTGCAGAACTATACAACAGGACAGATCATTACAAGTAAGTATATAATGAGTGTTAACAGTATGGCTGGGAAAGAAATAGTGGTTTTACATACATGAGATCTGCATGTGTCGGGACGAAGGCTGATTATCCCAAAATTTCATGACTTTGTCAAATTAAACCGTTCTTTTGACATTAAAAAAATGCAAATACCTCTTTTACTTACACAGGAGCAGTTTTCTTGGATTCCACAGGGCACCATGCTACGACCTCACAGGTTTTAACAGTTGCGTTATAATTCACACATCTTCCTGTCTGAATTCCTGTAGAGAAGAGAAACAAGCTCTTATTGAGCAGAGATAGAAGTTTTGAGCTATTTAAAGACAATTTCAAAATGTTAGTGGATCCCTCCTCAAATATAAGACAGAAAAGTTGTCAGTTTAGATTCTTGCAGCTTTCTGTAAGAGGAAGCTGAAGAAGAGTTACCCAAACCATGGTCCTGCTACACCTTATAAATCCCTATTCAGCTGTTTGCTTGGGTCAACAGTGCATGTTATTGTTTGGGCTGAGGGTGAAGTAATTTCCTTCACAGTTTTGCATAGAGTTATCACATCTGAGTCTTGAGATAAATCAAGAAAACAACAGTTTCACTCAGAAGTTTCATTCAACAAGATGAGCATATTAAACAAGTATATAAAGTTGGGGGGAAACTTTAATTCTTCCTTCACTCCTGGAAAGTCAACTTTTTCTGTGAGCATCCAGTCTTTACCAGGGAAAGTGATAATCTAGCTAGCAGCCCAAATTCACTGAGTCCCAGCACTACAGAGAACTCACTTAGTCAAAGAAAACAGTATGATGTCCTCTAGACAACTTTAGTGGTCCCCAAGACAGGACATAAGTCCCTTAACTTATTCTGAGGACTACTTAGTCATCTTAGTGGTGTTACAGACCCTTCAAAGGGACCACCGGCTGAGCAGCCACTAAATTCAATGGGAGTGACTGACACGTTCACACCACAGCGTATACCCTCCTTCACATTTTCCCCTTCCTCTGCTTTGTCTCTCTTTCCTTTCTCCTTTTAGTAAGGGTACACATGAGCTGACAAGAACTCAGTTTTGTGGTTTTGAACTTATGTTCTCAGATGTCTTTTAGGGCTCTGTGCCGTTTTACTGCAAAGCCTCTCCAAGCTGGATATTGCACAGTCTGCACTGGTCAATAATGCAATAGAAGATGGTGCCCACAAACAATGTTTCAATCTGAAAAAGGCATTTATATACCATTACTCTGGTGATCCACACTCCCTTTTTTGCAGGACTTGTCTGAAAAGCAGATAGCTTTGGCAACGGGATACTGAAAAAAAATTGACATAAAAGAGAAATATAAATATCTCCCACTCCATACCGATGTAAAAAGTCTTTCTCAGCTTCATTGTAAAAATATCAAATAATTAGAAAAAAATGGCAATGCAGAAGCAAGTGTAACCCTTACTAATTAGCGGGCTTATGAGGAGATAAAGGCTCAGCTACCTGCAAATACACAGAACAGCCCTTTTCTTGCTTACGGTAACATTTTCCCTTATTATTTATGTCCTTTCCCATTTTCCATACTCTCCCCTATAATATGAAGCACAGTAAATCTAATATTGGACTATTTAATTCTTTGTTTACTAAGAGACCCTCATACTTATGCAGTGAAAGCCAGCTTGTTTTAGGGAACTACTCTGCAAGGTTCCACTTTTAGGCTAGCTGGATGAAAGAAGGGGAGAGCTGCAGCTGGCTGTCAGGTTTGACCTACAGAAAGGAAGGAAGGGGACATGTCGGCATGCGCAAGAGTAGTACTAAAAGCACCATGCTGGCAGAAAAACTGACAGCAATTCTTTAACTCCATCATCCCTCCAGATTTTTCTCAAGAACAGCAGCAAAGCCAGAGAAGCTGCACAGCAATCACTAGCCTGAATGCCACCACTTCCTGAAAGTGATGCACATAGGTTTGGCTACAAGATCTTTGGTGCAAGGTAGAGCCACAACGGACAACTGATTCCCTGAGAAACACAAAGGTGGAGGAAAGAAAAGGAGCAATTAAACTAGATCACTAGATCTTGTGTGTTAGCTACTGAAAGAGGAGCAGCATTTGCTTGTGCAGGACCGCTCCAAGGACCATCCAGTCTTTAATGTCAACATTAATGCACGGTGTTAACTATTGGCAATTCACACTGGAGACCGTCATCCCAAATATAAATGACAAAACACATTTACCTCAGGGCACCTCCTCTGAAGCTGATTCTCTGTCATAATGATGTTGGTTATTACAAAAAAGGAGTCTACTCCCTATATGGAGAAAAGAATAGGAATATGACTGAAACGTCATGTACTTGATTCAGACCTCAGCCATTCCAGAATGTCACCTGGAGAGACAACAAGGCTGGTTCTGCTCTACCTCCCATTGACACACGTTCAAATTCCACCAGACTCAGACCGGGGAAGGCCAGGGACATCATCAGGATAGGAATGAGCAGCCAGGGACAAGAAGGCCCTGATTTCCTTAAACCAGTATTGCAAATAAGAAAGACACATCTTCTGATGCACTAGCATTAGTAACACTACTCTGTTCAGTACAGCTAGACTGGAGTGAATCTGTTCCTAGCTTTGCTATTACTAATATACTAAACTGATTATGCAAAAATTGTGTAACAAATAGCACTACAGAAATCTCATAAAGGGAGATCATTTTTTTCTTATATTGGAGGTGGAAGGGGAGATTTGGCTTTAAACATTGCTGCCTCCCACATAAAGTCTCCTTTAATGTTGCTGCTCATCTCAGCAAGTATAATTATCTCCTGCCCTGATGCGGTAAACACACTGAATGGGAGTATAGAGACATATCAGAAAAGCGACTAGATGTATCAATGGAAGTTAAATATTGCACCGAGTATTGCACTGAAATTAAGTGAAGACTTGCCTGCATCGGTATGGTGTATTCTGCTGTATCCCAGATCCTTTCGCCTGTCTGAGCCACTCCCTTCACTTTAGTGTGAACGGAGCTGATAATGTTGTCCTTCTCCTGATAGCGTCTGTCAACGATGAGTGTGTAACTGGCCAGAAAAAACAGAAAGAACAAATACGGCCATAAGAATAAAATGGGCCAGCTTCTTCGTATCGCTCTTAGACAGAGTGCATTGTAAGACAAAAGTCAGATGGACATCTTAAGGTAATGTGAGTGACTTTTGGTGTGAAACATGTATCGGCTGGACCAAAGTCCTTTTGGTTTCACTTCGGCAACTTTTGACTTTGTCGGGAATGAGCTGAAATAAACATGAAGAAAACGTACATTTTTTTTCTCTCCTAAATGCTACAGACAATATAAGATGACATCCTGGGCCTTCAGAAATCATTTGCCAAACACCCACTATCTGTAATGGCATTTGATATCACCCCAATTTGATACCACCCCACCCATTTGATATCACTTTCATCCATGATGTGTTACTGTCTACCTAGACTTCGACCTTTGCTGTCACAAATGGTAGTGTTCTCTCTAAATCTGAGAGGAATAAATACTTCCATTTCTTTGAAAACATCTTAAAATATCTACTCTCTTATTTTCCAGAGTGACTACTCTTGTGCTTCATATTGATTACTTCAAAAACCCTGGCCTGGCTTCTTTCACTTTGTCATAAATTGAATGTGTTATTAACAGGTGGAAGACATCTCTTCCTTTAAGTTGACAGGAAGCCATTAAGAATCATTTAGCATTTCTTGCTTTAGCATCATGAGATTAGCAAATACCACACACTGAATTCATAAAACCATTAACAACTTTGAAAAACTAGTGTATGTTCAAAAGGTACTTTCCACATTACATAAAAGTTATATAAAAAGTTTGCTTTGAAAAACAAACAAGCCTGACATATAGCCACAGGAGCCAGCACCACTTCAGTTTCTCAACAGACCATTCTGGGAAGAGAAAGCAGCATGTGAAGAACATAAATATAAAGCAACTGAGCAAAGCTCCTTCAATTGCCTGTTATTGCCCATTATGTGTTTCAGCCTTTTTCCTTCTGGAGAACAATGTTTTGGGATAACCATGCTGGCACAGTACCTTAGTAAGGCAACTTGAATTTCCTGCAAGCTTGATTCTCAGTGAGATTGGGATCAGTTTGCTCAATGTCCTGGCTTGCTGCCCTTCCATGAGAATGAAACCAACTCTACGCACTTCTGCAGACTTTGTTCAGCCTACACTTATCACTGAAAACAGCCCTACTTTGGCAGCAAAAAGGAAAATTTGCCCTTTCGAGGCAACCAATTACTGTATATTCATAAAACACCTTATTGTTCTTAAAATATGTTGCAAGGGGTAACTCACTATTTCATCTGTTAGGTAGATCTAACCCGGAATAAGAGACTCCCTGGAGCAGACTCTAATCTCAGAAACCCTGGTATAAATCTGAGATTAGTCAATGGAGTTATTCTGGATTTAAGACCACAAACACACACAAACAGCATGATCAGAAACGAAACTGCAAGCATTTATAGAGAAACCTCAGTGAACTCCGCCCAAGCAACCTCACCCTGTTAGATAACATCTTATGTCACACTCCCATCACAAACTTCCAGCACAGTTCCCACAATCACATCCATGTACCATGTTACAATGGAGTAACAAGCTGATTGATCTTAACATGCTGCCACAGAACTCAAAGCAAAGTTGGATTTATTGGCTGAAAGCCAAGATGTAACCAGACAACTCCCAGTATAGGAAACAGTTGCTCCCATATGACACAACATCCCCTCACCGTGCACTTACCCAACATATGCGCCGACAAATATATGAAAGATCCATTTCATACATCCATATTTAAGACTGTGAAAGTGGATAACTTTCGAAGAGTCGTATCTATGCAGAAACTTCAGAAAGTCACATGCAGCCATCCTTAGCACTTCCTGAGAAATCTAGGCTTTGGAAAACTGCAGCTGCCTTGTGCAGTCTCCTTCCGCGCCTGCATCCTACCCAGGCCACACCACTTAAAGGCACAGTCAGAAACCTGTATGATAGGATGGTACTAAGTGAGAAAGTTACAGGCCTTTGAAAGAAAGGCAGTTGGTCGATCAAAGAGTGTTATTAATCAAAAATATAAAAATAACATAAGGAAATGGGAGAGAGGATGCCAGATGCTTTTCTTACCCATAAAGGGAGGAAAAGGGACAAATTAACTTCTGTTCTATCTTCATTAAGATCAGGAGAATTCCACTAAGAATTAGTCAGGCTCAGTTTGTTGAGAGAAAAACAAGCTCTTTACAGCCACCCACATTTACATGCAACAAAGACAGTTTTCACAGAGAGATTTTTTGAATTCCCTTTGACTGAATATCACAAGTGTACTTTAAGTTTCTGAATTCAGACTTTTTTCAAAAAGAAAAATCAAAATGTCAGCTACATTAATGCTGCTATTATGTTCCCCAACTGCCCCAGCTTTTCATAGCCAAAAAGTTCTGGGCTGGAAAACCCCAAGAGACAACTTCCTGCTAAGTTCTCAAGTTCAACTTATCAGGGTCTGCTGGGGAATTTGCTTTCATTGAATCAATTCAGACATCCCAGGCATTAATTGAAAGCTTGTAGTTTGCTGAGCAGCTCTTCTGAGGTAGTAAATACTTTCAAGCCCCTTGCTCTGACTCAGAGAAAGACAGCAAGCATTTTGTATTGCACGGGATCAGACTTCGCTCATTTACAATCTGTTTAAAAGGCTTGCATCCGCAATGTGAATTCAAC